TACTTCTGTGTGATAAGTTAGAGTATGTGCTCAAAGTCTCAAACTTTTTTTTAACCAACAAGAAGGTGCACACTCATAAAACTTAAATAAACAAAATAACTACTTTATTCTAATCAGACGTGTAAAATCTTGCAGGCAACAGGCTGGGCTATTCAGTAAACTAAGAATGCTTATGAATAAAAATATAAATTGCGGAATTTATTCTAAAAGAGTCAAGATGTCACTATAGCGGAGTTGGAATAAATTATAATGTTCAGATTCAAGATCCTAAAATTTGAAATGCAGTGACAACCTGTAACAAAAGTGAAACCCTTGTTCAATTTTATTTATATATATATATATATATATATATATATATATATATATATATATATATATATATATATATATATATATATATATATATATGTGTGTGTGTGTGTAATTTCTGAGTGTAGTATGCATGTATACATATCTATTTATGTGTGTATTATATGCATGTTTGTATGTATATTATAAATATAATAATTTATAAAGTTATGCTTGTGATATATGTACACAGACATAGGATATTACACATATATTAATATACATTATATGTATTAACGCATAATACTCATTTACATAAATTAAGTAAAGCTATATTTTGTTTTTTAAATTCAATTTATAATTTTACAGAACAACAGAAATACAAACACACACATCAAAGGGCACTTTTGATAAATGGTTGGCACACTCATGCACACTGGCACATAATCAATAATGCCCACACATACATGCACACATACACGCATGAACACACACAAGTCTTTCCAGAAGCTTTGAGGAAAAAGGGAGCAGGAATATGGGATGATAGTTAGAGGACGGGTCAAGAAATGTTTTTTTCAGGACAGGTACTACAGTGGCATGTTTAAGGTCAGCAGGGGAGAGCAGTTGAAGATGTGTGTTAAGGAAGGCATAAGACAGGGGGAGAGAGATCTGATAAGGTGAGATGGGACAGGATCAAGCGGGCAAGTGGTGGGGCAAGAGGAAAGGTAAAACACAGCCACCTCTTGTTTAGCAGCCGGGGAGAAAGTCTGAAGAGTAGGAAAGGCATGATCAACGTGTGGTTAAAAAAGAGACCGGCAAGGTGGGGAGAATTCTTTCCTTTGCTGTTCAATCTTGTCGGTAAAGTAGCATACAAAGCTATTGGTTGTAAGGTTAGTTTGGGGGGTGGCCACAGCAGGACGAGGAAGAGAATTAAAGGTGTCAAAGAGACGACTGGGATTGAAGGAGCATGAACTAATGAGCGAGAAAAAGTATGACTGCTTGGCGAGGGCAAGGGCTCTGCTGTATGAACACAAGATGAATCTATAATGGAGATAGTCTCCCTGGGTGTGAGACTTCCTCCAGGAGCGTTCAGCACAATGGAAGCATCTTTGCAAATAGCATGTTGATTTAGTATGCCAAGGTTGGGGGCATGTCCTTCTCAAGGTGCATGTTTGGAGTGGGGCTGCAGTGTTCAAGGCACAGGTGAGGGTAGTGTTATATGTGGAGATGGCCAGTGAGGAACAGGAGAGGGAAGGGATGGATATCAGTTGTGAATCAATATAAGCTGACAGCTGCTGGAGGTCAATAGATTTAAGGTTCCTCTTGAGTTGAGGGGGATTAGGCTGAGGTTGTTGGGTGAGGGGTTAGTTGAGAGCAAACGATAAGAGGTGGTGATCAGAGAGAGGAAATGGAGTGTTGCAGATATTAGATACTGTACATGCATAAGAGAAAATTAGGTCAAGGGTATTGCAAGCTACATGGGTGGGAGAATTAGCCCACTGTGATAGCCAGAGGGAGGAAGTAATTGCAAGTAGTTTAGAGGCTGCTGAGGTCAAAGGTGGGCTAATGGGAATATTGAAGTCCCTGAGAATTAGGGATGGAATATTAAAAGAGACGAAGTAGGGTAGCCAAGAAGCAAAGTGGTCAACGAAGAGGAGAGGGGAACCAGGGGGGGCGAAAATAACGGCAATGTTAGCAGAGAAGGGTTTAAAGAGGAAAATCGAATGAATTTCAAATGATGGGAAAGAGTAGTACCCAACTGGTGATGCCTGTCCTCGGCTGCTGGGATATGACGTCATGATCCAGACGGCCTTCAGCTTTGCATTCTGTAGCTTCCGCCTTTCACCATTCCGCTCAGCTAGAGCCACATAACAGGTCCAAAGTGCGGGCACACTGTATTTGAAACTTCAAAGGGGCATGTGTGAGAGAGACTTATAGTGCTCTCTCACTTCTCTCTCTGCTGCTAGCTGGCTCCTAACTTTGCCAGTGTAAGGCAAATGTCAGCCTCAATATGGCCCCCAAGAAGGCTACAACAGACCACAACAAACAGTCCATGGATAAATTAAGTTAATAAAGCATGTTTTAAATAATCTGTTTGGACTGCCACAGCCCATCAGTTAATTTTCCAGTATCCTGGTGGGCCAGTCCGGTCCTGATTACTGTAATTCCTCATCAATGAGAATGCAAGCAACATTCCATTTTATATCATGCTGTTTGCTAACTTCAAAACAAAATATACTTGTCTTCCCAAAAGACTGCAGGTGAAAGTGAATGGTAAGATGCCAAGGATGGTGTCAAAATAATAAGACAGATATGTAAATTCATATGATAGTGGGACCTTAATTATTTTGTTTTAATTTTTTTTACTTAAAGAGCAAGCACCACATACACATTTTTGTTATATTGAATAAAACAATTAATCCTTTTATTGCTTTCTTTTATAATAGGCATGATAGTGGCTGAAACTTTTGATCATATCCAATCCATCTACAAGGCCAGTCTTAAGAGATACATACATACTACTCTCTTCCTGTTCTCGTTCGCACTTGGATTTTACCTGCTCTTGAAATCTGTGGGTGTGGATCTACTTTGGACATTGGAAAAAGCCAAGAAATGGTGTGCTCAACCTGAATGGATCCACATTGACACAACTCCCTTTGCAGGACTTTTAAGAAATCTAGGTATCTTAGTTGGCCTTGGTTTAGCCCTGAATTCACAAATGTACAAGGATAGTTGTCAGGGCAAACATTCAAAACGATTCATTTTCCGCCTCTATTGTACTATGGCATCTCTTATTGTTCTCCATATTTTTGACAGCTTCAAGCCGCCAACCAAAGTTGAAATGCTATTCTATTTTCTGTCTTTCTGTAAAAGTGCTGCTGTTCCACTGACATGTGTAGCAATTGTACCATATTGTATTTTTCAAGTTGTGAGCAGAAATGAGAAGATTCTATAAGAGCTAGATAAATTAATTTTGTTTACATTCTACAAGTTTTGCTACTTATTGGAGTATAGGATGACAAGTCATTTCAAGGACTCATTTTTGGACTGTAGTTTTCTAAGCCTTCAGTTGGAGAACTTTTCTAAGATAATGAACAATCACTCCACAACAGAGACTGAAAAAAATGCATCAGCTGTAAGCCTGCTCATGAACGTTACAGACATCCAGAGACCAATATGAAATTCTGTTAGAAATTTAGAGGCAAATGAAAGCCCTATAGAAGAATTAGTCTGAACTTCAGACAAATACAGTATTTACATGGCTGGCATGAAAAAGTTAAAGTTGGAAAAAAATATATAAAACTGTAAATTGTCAGTATGAGTTTATATTAGGAAGGCTGCGATACAGAGCAGCCCCATATTTACAATAAAGGTGCTTAGTATAAAACACATATATTGTGTTGTGCAAATATGTACCTTCTGGTTGAGTGCATATAAAAAATGAATGAGAAATAAGTTATATTCTTCAGTCAAAACTAAATTCTCCTGTTCTATTTAGTGATGAAAAATGAAATATGGCCTGTTAGAATGTTTTTAAACTTTATAATAATGTTTTTCAGTATTTTCAATTGTTCATTAAAATGTGTGTGTTTTCTAAAAAAATAAAAAAATAATACTCTAGCCATTTTTTTTCAGTCTGCTATCTTTACTATTTATATGTTCTGTTAATCCCTGCTGCTTTTGACACTGTTGATCATCAACAGCTTCTTCTCATCCTCCATAATCTCGGTCTACGAAATACTGCTCTCTCCTGATGCTCTTCCTACCTCTCCCAGCGCTCATTCAGTGTTTCTTTTTCAGACTCTGCCTCTTCTCCCCAATGTTCCCATAGGGTCTGTCCTTGGTCCCTTATTGTTCTCAATCTACACTGCCTTTCTTTGTAAACTCATCAGCTCCTTCGGCTTCCAGTATCATTTCTATACGGATGAAACGCAAATGTATCTGTCCTCCCCTGATTTCTCACCATCCCTCTTGACTTGTGTCTCTTATGCCTGTCTGCTATTTCCAACTGGATGGCGGCTCATTTCCTCAAACTGAATCTGTCCAAAATAGAACTTCTGGTCTTTCCTCCCTCAAGTGTTGCTACTTCCTTGCCTGTGTCCCTCCAAATCAATGGTACTACCATCCGCTCTACTTCTAAGGCTCGCTGTCTAGGTGTTGTCTTTGGCTCCGACCTCCTTTTCACCCCTCATGTCCAATCTATCACCAAATCCTGCCGCTTCCATCTCACAAATATTGTGCGCGCCTACCCTATTTAACGTCAGATGCGGTTAAGGTGCTGGTCATTGCCACTGTCCTTACTCGCCTTGACTACAGCAAGTTCTCAGTGGTCTTACGTGTTCCCAACTTGCCTCATTACAGTGTATAATGAACGCAGTGGCAGGCTCATCTTTCTGTCTGCCCGCACCTCCTATGGCTCCCCCCCTTTGTCAGTCCCTACATTGGCTTCCCGTTAGATGTAGGACTCAATTTAAGATCCTGATACTTGCTTACAAATCTCTAAACAATGCTGCTCCAACCTACTTATTCTCACTATTACACAAATATGTCCCGTCTAGGCCCCTACGCTATGCCAGAGCTACACCTAACCTCTGTTCATACTCCTACCTCTGATGCTCACTTTAAAGACTTCTCTAGGGCTGCACCATTCCTATGAAATGCCCCTCCCCTCTCTGTTAGACTTTCACCCAATCTCCACTCCTTCAAAAAATCTTTTAAAACGTACTTTTTTATGAAAGCATATCAATTAAACTGTGAACAACTTTCCCTCCCCGCACCCTGACTCCGCTCCTGCAACTGTCATCAAAACAAAACACTAAGCCCTCAATGAACACTATCCTAGCAACCTACTTTTCTACCCTACTCTTACCTTTTGTGTCACATTACCCCCACTTCCTCTAGAATGTAAGCTCATTGAGCAGGGCCCTCAATTCCTCTGTTCCTATGTGTCCAACTCGTCTGGTTACAAATTACTTGTCAGTTAGTCCACCCACTGTACAGCGCTATGGAACTTGTTGGCACTTTATAAATAATAATGATAATGTGAGTAATTTTTCATATAACATTTCGTAATGCTGTTAGTTTCCCGTTAATGATGCAAGTGACAGTAGGAGATTAGGAAACCAATTAAACCAATTGCAGGTGTTAGAAAGAAACTATATAAATGCAGGATGTTACAAAAAAAGATGCAAGCTGGTGTCAGAGGCAAGAAGACAACATAGAAACATAGAATGTGACGGCAGATAAGAACCATTCTGCCCAATTTTCTAAATACTTTCATTAGTACCTAGCCTTATCTTATAGTTAGGATAGCTTTATGCCTATCCCATGCATGCTTAAACTCCTTTATTGTGTTAACCTCTACCACTTCAGCTGGAAGGGTATTCCATGCATCCATTACCCTCTCAGTAAAGTACTTCCTGATATTATTTTTAAACCTTTGTCCCTCTAATTTAAGACTATGTCCTCTTGTTGTGGTAGTTTTTCTTCTTTTAAATATAGTCTCCTCCTTTACTGTGTTGAATCCCTTCATATATTTAAATGTTTCTATCATATCCCCCCCTGTCTCGTCTTTCCTCCAAGCTATACATGTTAAGATCCTTTAACCTTTCCTGGTAAGTTTTATCCCGCAATCCATGAACCAGTTTAGTAGCCCTTCTCTGAACCCTCTCTAAGGTATCAATATCCTTCTGAAGATACGGTCTCCAGTACTGTGTACAATACTCCAAGTGAGGTCTCACCAGTGTTCTGTACAATGGCATGAGCACTTCCCTCTTTCTACTGCTAATACCTCTCCCTATACAACCAATCATTCTGCTAGCATTTCCTGCTGCTCTATTACATTGTCTGCCTACCTTTAACCCCTTAAGGACACAACTTCTGGAATAAAAGGGAATCATGACGGAATATTTCCGTCATGTGTCCTTAAGGGGTTAAGTCATCAGAAATAATCACCCCTAAATCCCTTTCCTCATATGTTGAGGTTGGGACTCTATCAAATATTCTGTACTCTGCCCTTGGGTTTTTACGTCCAAGATGCATTATCTTGAACTTATCCACATTAAATGTCAGTTGCCACAATTCTGACCATTTTTCTAGTTTACCTAAATCATTTGCCATTTGGCTTATCCTTACTGGAACATCAACCCTGTTACTTATCTTAGTATCATCAGCAAAAAGACAAGAACAGAAACATATTGTATGTTTAAAAAAAAATGTGAGTTTAACCCTTTCAAAGCATTAGTATCTTGTATTATAATCAAGCCAATTGACCATTTGGTCTTTCAAGCTATGTATACATTAATACTTTGTATACGTAAAAAGAAATACAGAAGTATAAAACAGGACATGAGACTTACGCCCTGTAACATAAAATGTATAGCTCTATATGTCTAGGGGAATATTCACTAAGCAATGCATAGGTAAACCAACAGAGTATAAACATTATTTTCATGTGTTTTGCATTATCAAATCTAGTCCATAAAGCCTCACTCACCTTCATGTATACTCTAGTAATGATTAACAGCCTCTATAGGAACAAATCCCTCTGCTGGAAGCCACTAATCACTGAAATAATGCCTGTGAAGTTGCTAAAAATGTCAGCTCACCCCCTACTTTCAAACACAACAGGAAGTGTCATTGGGACATAGCATTCTTATAGTCTGGACTATACCATTTCACTGGCAGCATTACATTAGCAGTCCAGAGATTGCTAATTATTGTTATAGCAGCTTAAATGTTTTTAATACAAATATATATATATATTTATATACACTGAACAAAATTAGAAACGCAACACTTTTGTTTTTGCCCCAATTTTTCATGAGCTGAACTCAAAGATCTAAGACTTTTTCTATGTACACAAAAGGCCTATTTCTCTCAAATATTGTTCACAAATATGTCTAAATCTGTGTTAGTGAGCACTTCTCATTTGCCGAAATAATCAATCCACCTCACAGGTGTGGCATATCAAGACTGGGAAAAAAAATTAGGCCCGGGCATTTTTCAATCACAGCTGTCCCCTCAGAAGGGGGCGGGGCCAGAGAGAGTGTGTTTTGTCATCACTAATGACAAGCATGCCCCCTCTCAAAGTGATCATGTTGGTTCAATGCACAGAGCCCCGCTGAAGAGCTCTAGCATGAGAAAAAGGCCCTGTATTTGTTTCCCGAATCTGTGTCCAACACAGATTTAGACATATTTGTGAACAATATTTAAGAGAAATAGTTCAGCTCATGAAAAATGGGGGCAAAAACAAAAGTGCTGCGTTTATAATTTTGTTAAGTGTATATATATATATATATATATCAGAGTATTACAGTATGCAATGATACCTTTTTGATTGGACATAATATTTCAAAGACAAGCTTTCGAGAAGTTTCCTCTCTTCTTCAGGTCTGTAGCAATACTAATCAATCTGATAGAGTTTAACACTTAAAACAACTGATGTTATCTGTCATAAATCATTGAATCACACCTCACATGTACATTTTTGTTTAAAGTAGACAACCCAGGGTATTCAATATGGAGTATGTCCAGTCTTTTTTAGTAGCCACTTAGTCACAAACACTGGCCAAATGTAGCAATTATATTTGTTTGTGTGCTAAAAATGAAAAAAACTATTGGCCAGTGTTTGTGACTAAGTGGCTAGTGTTTGTGACTTTGGCCAGTGTTTGTGACTAAGTGGCTAGCCATTTGCAATACCTTGGGATGTCTTCTTTTGCAAATGGTATGCCATTGTGGGAGTAATTCTCATTCCTGGGCTACCATACGCTCTGAAAGGCAACATAACCAATCTGGCAAATTTCAATGTGAAAATACATAAAATCAAGTCTTATATTTGACCCTGTAACTTTCAAAAACACTATAAAACCTGGACATGGGGGATATTGTTATACTCGGGATACTTCACTGAACACAAATATTACTGTTTCCAAACAGTAAAATGTATCACAACAATATCATCAACAATAACAATATCAGAGAAAGTGCTGTTTGTGTGTGAAAAATGCAAAAAACCTCACTTTCACTGACAATATCATCGCTGTGATATGTTTTACTGTTTTGAAACACTAATATTTGTGTTCAGCGAACTCTCCAGAGTAAAACAGTACCTCCCATGTACAGGTTTTAGGGTGTCTTGGAAAGTTACAGGGTTAAATAAAGTGTTAGCAAATTAAATTCTCTGGACTTTCGGCCTGGGTTGTCAGGCAGGTCCCCCAAATTGCAATCAATTAAAATACTTAATTATGTAAAAATATTACATAAATATGCACGTAGAATTTAAATATATATATACACACATTTTTATATATTTGACATCTACGTGTATATTTATGAAATTATTTATGTAATTATGTATATAGATATATGTATATTTTTATTTATTCATATATACATATATATATATTGTAACAAACCACCTCTTTTACAGGTAGGATTGTCACAGATCTTGCATTAACCACAGCCTTCTAGGGTATACAAAGTCCAGGACACATTCAGCTCGGTTTTCCTTTTTATTCAGTAAGAAAACAGGTGCTTTAAATAATAACAAAACAAACAAAATCCCTTGCTCTTACTTGAGCTCTTACTAGACAGTAATTGCTATCTGCAATTGGGTGGCTTTCCCACTTACCAATTTTCCAAACAAAAGAAATGTCTTTGCAATAAACACAATCTCTCCTAGCTGTCTTTTTCTCCCTCACTCTGCAGCAGGCTGCCCTCTTCTTTTAAAGGCCTGTCTACTAATTGACTGGCTACAGGTGAGTGCCAATTAACTAACTCGTAAGTCAGATCCAAATAGTGGTCTGTTACACAGCAACTAATGCTGTTGGAGCATTGGCCCACCCTGCTCTCCAAATACTCCGCCCCAGGGAGCCATAACATGTTTTGCAGAACCTTAGCAATGTAGATTGCAAACTCTAACATTAGAAACTGGGGCATTTAACTGAACATTCTCAGGTTGCTGTTTAACAAATCAGGCCTGATGTATCTTCCATCAAGCACAATTCCACTTTTACGCTCACATATCCTCCCCCCCAGCTCATACCCATGGGTTTGAGCGACCATGGAAATCAGAGAGTGTACCCTCGAAAGCCCATCAGCATTACCTTGTTGCAGACCAGCCCTGTGTTCCACAGTGAAATTAAAAGATTGTAAACTCAAAAACCATCTGGTTACTCTGGAGTTATTTTCCTTGTTCTGATACATCCATGTCAGAGGTGCATGGTCCGTTATCAATCGGAACTTTCTGCCTAGCAGGTAGTATTTAAGAGAGTCTAATGCCCACTTAATAGCAAGACACTCTTTTTCAACAATAGAATAGTTCTTCTCATGTGGGTTTAACTTCCTGCTCAAAAAGAAAACCGGGTGTTCTTCACCCTGGTATTCCTGTGAAAGAACAGCCCCCAAGCCCACATCAGAAGCATCTGTCTGAACTATAAAATCCCTGGAAAAATCTGGGGTCACCAAGACAGGATGGCTACAGATAGCTTCCTTCAGACTCTTAAACGCCTTTTCTGCCTCAGGGCACCATTTAACTATGACTGGTGATTTTGCTTTAATAAGATCTGTTAGAGGTGCAGCAATGGTAGCAAAATCTGGGATGAACCGCCTATAATATCCAATTAAACCCAAAAATGCCTTTACTTGTTTCTTTGTAAGGGGCTGTGGCCATTTTTGTATGGCTTCTACTTTGGCTTCCTGTGGTTTAACCAAACCCCTCCCAATAGAATAACCTAAGTACTTTGCTTCCTCTAAACCAATCGTACACTTGGAAGGATTGGCAGTTAAGCCCGCTGAGCGGATAGCATCAAGCACCGCTTGAACTTTGGGGAGGTGGGATTCCCAGTCTGCACTGTGGATGATGACATCATCCAAGTATGCTGCAGCATAACGAACATGAGGTTTAAGAATTCTGTCCATCATTCGTTGGAATGTGGCAGGTGCCCCATGTAACCCAAATGGCAATACAGTGTACTGAAACAGGCCACTGGGTGTTGAAAAGGCTGTCTTTTCTTTG